ACGAGAACACTGGCAGGAGGGGCGGTCTCTGGTGTGTGCAGGTCAAGTTTGCGTACAGCCTTAGGGTCCTTCTTTGTACCTGTTCGCACGTTGCTGGCATTTCTACAGCCGTTAGGGATCTGTTCTACAATATGACAAAGAAGTCATTTTAAACTTTCCTAGCAAGGAATTATAAAAATCAATAAGGGTTCCGTGTTGAAAGTTCTACACGTGAACACATTTCTCCACACTCTGCTTGTCCGGCATTGTTTTCTCTCTGCACCTTCCTCCCAGCTAGCAGTAACCGATGGCGTTTACTGCGCATTTCACCCTGTGCCTCCAGGGCTCTGTGCTCAGGGCTCCGTGTGCGTGGTGACCCTGGGGAGCAGGAACGTCATCGTCCCTGTTGTAAAGCAAGTGAGAATCAGAGCAGTTACGTGGCTGGTTCCTTGGAGCCGGAGCTGTTCGGTGCCAGCCCCGGGTCCTAATCGCTATCTATGTCTTTTATTCATATCCGTTTCCACCTCGCCTCTCACCTCAGAAATTACCTACAGAGCATCCCTGTCGACTCTGTGGGTATAGCCAAAGCTTTCTCCGCTCCAGCATGATTGACAGCTTGGGCCAGACCATTCTGTACTGTGGGGCTGCCTGTGCACCGCAGGGTCCCCTGCCTCCACCTGCTGGATGCCGGTAATAGCCCCCCACCCCCCAACCCCCACCACACACACCCGGTAGTAATAACCAAATAGGTCTCCAGCCATCGGCAACTGTTCCCTCTCACCCAGGGACCAAAATCGCCCTCACGGAGCACTACAGAACTACTGCTAGAGCCTGGGCCCTGCGTTCATCCTGGAAACAGATCCCAGAGCCCTTCCAGTCGAACAATGCCTGATAGAAACCCACGGGGACAGTTTGTGCCCGTCTGGCAAGTCTATGCTCATTCGAGGCAGCTGCCACCTGCCAGGACATTCCAGGGCAGGGCCTGAGAAATCTCGGCGTGCCTGTAGCTATGAGACGCCAGCTGAGCGAGGCTTCCCAGCTCTCGGCCGGAAAGCTGGCTGCTGGGTTGGAGTAGGCAAGGGCAGCCTTTGCCCAGCAAAAGGTGGGACCCCAAGCCGTCTGTGGATGGCACAGCTGAAAGCAACCAGCACGCCAGGCTCTCGAAGACGCTGCAGAGCAGGCCGAAAGCTCAATTGTCTCTGGCTCCAAAGAGGTCATTTCTGGGCCTGATCCTGTCTCTGCTGGCTATGTGGACTCGACTGAGCCCCTTTACTTGTTTCCACGTAGTAATAGTGAAATGAGAACTGCTTCCCTCTGTCTCCCCCGGGGCAGTTGTCAGAGTAAAGGATGTGGGTCTAGCCCGGCCTGCTCCTCCCCTCCACTCGCCTCTTTTCTGAAGTAGTGATTCCACGTTTGCCTGTCTGCTGCCAAAATGTCATCTCTGGGCTCAGCCCTGGGGACACATACCCTAAGGGAGGCTGGAAGCTTCCAGAGAGGACTGGATCTGTTCTCAGGCCACTTGAACACGCCAGGTGTGGTTGAGAGCACTCCTAGCTAACGGGGAGGCCGGGGCAGGAGGATTGTGACACCATGAGACCCTGTCGGAAATACTTCTTTCTCCTCTCCCTCTTTCACTCTTTCTCATAAAGGACAAAGAAGTCCAATTTGTGAAGGCTTGGTCTTTTTTAAAACAGCTTTTCTTTCCTCACGATCAAGCTTGCACAGATGTGTGGTGAACGAGAGCGACAAGCGCACTCCATGGGTTCTCATGCCGCAGTCTCCTTCCTCCTTCCTGAGCAGACACGCATGTGCCGGCATGTTTCAGGCTGGCTGGGCTGGGGGTTCAAACAATGATCATCAAGGGGATCCAGCTTCTCTTGAGCCATGGAGCTCCTCTGCACCATGGAGCCAGTCAAGGCTTGGTCTCACCCATGGCTGCGTCCCCAGAACTGAGAACAGAGGCCGGCATAGCAGATGCTCAATAAAGACGCAGAATGAACACACGCTTGCGCACACTGTGGGGAAGCTATCTGAAAACACGTCTCAGCGCACTTAGAATCCCCAGGCCCTTTGTACTTTGCAGCTCTACTTCCAAGAGTTTAAACTCCTCTCCTCGGGAACCAGCAGTTAGCGTAATGGCTATGTCGCTGGACTCCCACGTAGTCGACCGCGGTTCGCGTCCCAGACTTGGTGGCTTAAAACTCACGTCAGGCACGTGTGTGTGCGTGCCCAAGATCCCGAGAGGAGAATGGAGGAGGAGGGATTGCGGCGTGACCATCCCCCCGGGGGGTGATTTCTCGCTTTCTGTCTCTATGTCTCTCTCTGTCTGTTTGGCGAGCGCACATGCCCTATAGTAAACACCTCTCCAAAAACCCCTCTCCTCAAGTAATTCAGCACGAAGAAAAGACCGCACGCGAGTTGATGGCAGAGTCAGCACAGCCCTGATAAATCCACTCAGAGAAGTTCCAGACAGCCATCACACACAGCACACGCAGAACACGTGTCCATGTCAGAGCGCACATGCAAAGCTGCCACACATCATGCAAAATTGTCCTTGAACCTGATCACCGAGGTTACAGGAGTGAGCATCCCACACTATGGGAATACCATGGGGCAGTCTCTCTGCAGGGCAGCTTGGAAATTCCTTTGAAATGTCCATGTTCATGCTGCTTGACCCACCAACTGCTCTTCTAGGAATTTATCCTAGAAATGTGCTAGGAGAGGCCAGCAGGTGGTGTAATGGTTACGTCACTGGACTCCCACATAGTTGACCACGGTTTGAGTCCTGGACCCAGCGGGTTATAACTCATGCTGGGCACATGTGCATGTGTGCCCAAAATCCTGAGAGGAGAATGGAGAAGGGATTGCAGCATGGCCATCCCCCCTGGGGAGTGATGTCTCACTTCCTGTCTCTCTGTCTCTCTCCGTCTCTCTAGTGAGCACACACACCCTATAGCAAAAACCCCAGAAGTGTCTATGGATCGGGGAATGGTTAAATAAGCCACAGGCTTCCCATATAATGGAATCCCACTCAGCCACTAGAAATGAGGAGATTTACATGTATGATGTGGAAATATGCCCAAGATATTTTTTAAAAATAAATATTTATTTTTATTTGTTAGTATTAATATTATTATTTTAATTTGCCCAGAGAGAGAGAAAGGGAAAATGAGAGAGCAAGCCACCAGGTCCAGGACTTGAACCGTGGTCGACCATGCGAACATCCAGTGCCTCAACCAACATGCCACTTGCTGGCCCTGAATGTTTAAAAATGTTTATTTGTCCTATGAGACAGAGAGAGAGAGGCAGAGATAAAGAGGCACCCCCAACAGTCTTCATGCCACGATCTACCAGTATCTCAGCTGGCCAGGATCACAGGTACACACGAGCACATACGGTATGTACAGGGAGACGCTGGGATGCGAACCCAAGACCTTCTCATATATTAGGTCATTGAGAAAGTCGTGACATATTTTTCTATGTTTTTCTGTGCAAAAATGCGTTGTGACTTTCCCAAAGACCCAAGAGCTTCAGCACTGCGGGGTATTGCATTACCACGGCAACAACACAGCTGGCTCGGTGTTTACAGATTTTTAACATAAGCTAGGGAAAAAAAACAAACTGAACACAAGTTCACTTGTATAGGCAAATAAAAGCCAGGCACCCGAGCACTGCAAGGAACGGTGATGGATCATTTCTAAGCAGCGGGGTAACGGGCAGTCTTTGGCTTCCTCCTTTGGAAGGAAAGCATCTATTAATAGAAAGAGCATAGATGGCCTTGGCAAAGGGTAAGCCTCTCCCACAAATCCGGTCCTAACTGGGGTGACGTCGGGGCGTGGTGTTCTGTGCCGTAACCCGCCCCGTGTGGTGTCCTGTCTCCCCAGGATGGACGACATCCAGCTCTGCAAAGACATCATGGACTTGAAGCAGGAGCTGCAGAACCTGGTCGCCATCCCAGGTAACCGTTCGCGACGTCACCTCGCGAGAAGCAACTGCTCAGGGCCCCCAGCCCGCCCCGTCTGCACCCTGGCATGTGCCCCTGCGCTCCTAGCGTGGCCTTATTCTTGTGCTGCCGTGCTCCCTGGCCTCGTGGTTCCAACACAACGTTCTAATTCTGGCCACCTTCTTGACCTCAGGCGAGTCACTTTGCCCCTCTGAGGCTCAGTTTCTCCTCCTCTACACATAGGGTAGTAATTGCAACAGTAATAGTACCTAACTCGTGGGCAGACATCCTTGTGACGGGCGAGACCATGTAAGAGCCATGTGCTTCGTTTGATATTTGGCCCAGAGTCCAGTCCTCGTTAGCAAGGCCTGTCGAGCGTCGTTTAACGATGTTCTGAGAAACGCAGGGTCGGGTGACTTAGCCGTGCACATACCATGGAGAGCACTCACACACACTCCGTGGTACCGCTGACCACACACCTCGGGCTTACGGTGTAGCCCTTTCCAGTCCTACGGGACTACCTGGTATACACGGCGTGTCAACCAAAACGCTGTGATGGGGCTCCTGACTGTGTCCCCATTGTGGTCCTGTTGGGAAGCAGGTGGCATATAGAGGTTACAAGCTCTCACTTCCGAGTCAAGCCCAGATTTGCTAGTTATTAATGACCTTCTTTATTTGGCTTCTCCCCTAAAGCCGTCCCTGCCCCTCAGGCTAGGTTAGATGCCCTCCCTGGGACTTCTCCTCATCGAAGCACTTATCAGATCATCGCCTGTGACTCATCCTTGTCTCTCTCTGACGTCACGCTCCTTGAGGGCACGCAGCATTCACGTGCAATGGCAGCAGAACGGGTTGGTGCTAAGGAAAGGCTCGTCGGGTGAATAAACAGCTCTATCTGAGGAAACCTGACCATGGCAAGGAGCAATTCGACCAGACGCACACCCGGCACTGTCCGGGATTTGGGTGTTTTTGCCATTCTGTCAGCTCAGTCCGTATGTCCCAAGAGGCTGCTATGCAGCAGAGCCTGAGACAGGTGCTGGGCACACAGTGATGAGTGGAGAATGGCTCTCTCCCTCCAGGAGCCCACAAGTCGGTGGGAAGAGAGGGCCTGGCACACAGTGGGTAGCTGGAAGTAGAAGCTACCACTGGGCAGGAACTCAGCCAAATGTGCTGTACAGCAGGGTTTCCCACCTCGGCGCAGGTGACATGGGGCTGGTCGGAATGCCAGCGCCATCATTTGGAGTTGATAACGTCTTGTTAGGGGTGAGGGCCTCTTTGTTGTGCACTGTAGCGTGTTGAGCAGTGCTATGGTTTGACTGTCCTTCCAAAACTCATGTTGAAACGTAATTGCCACATGACCGTATTAAGAGTATTAAGACCTTTGGGGGGATTAAGACCATTACCACATGGGACTAGCAGGTGGCATGGTGGGTTCAGGTCAGAAATGTGTCAGGCTCACACTCGGGAGCTGTCCTAGTCCATTACTGTGTTGCTAACGAAGTACTCGAGACTGGGTGGTTTATAAAGAAATAGAAGTTTATTGATTAGCAAATCTGGCAGCTGGGAAGTTTGAAGGTGTAGGCCCAGAATCAGGCCAGCCTACAACATGGCCCATGGAATCATGGAGGACGGTGGGCACATGCAGAGAGTGAGCGAACCACCGACAGCTCTTCTATAGCAACCAGCTCTCGCGGGAACTGACCTCTTCCCGTGAGAGCTAACACTTAGGGTAGACATCTCTAACCTGTTCACGAGAGTGGGCCTCCATGTCTGTCTCTCCAGTGAGTGTGTGCACTCTATGGAAAAACCCATGTCCATCAACCAAGCCCCCTCCACTAGGCTCACCACCTCCCAACACCAAATTCCAAACCATGATGCTATGCCGGACAAAGCATCATTTAAACCAGAACAGACACCCAAGATCCTGAGGGACTGGAGGGCTGGGGAAAGGGGCTCATAGTGTGTCAACACCCCATTGATGGTGCTTCTCTCTCTCTGAGCAACAGCCCAGGCCGTCAGCACCAGTCACCTGATTCCTTCCAGCATCACTCCCTCCCAGAGCCCTGTGTGCAGAAATGCAGATACAGAACCCTGGGGAGCCCCTGTCCTCTCCTGCCTCCCCAGTCACCGCCCTCCATCTCTCTGTCCTGTGAGGGTCTGTGCATTCCCCGGGCCAATGCTAGGTTTCTAGATGGCTTTAGCTGAGTTTGGGGGGTGGGGTGGGGGAATCCCCAATGTTCTTGGCAACATATCAAAGTTTTAAGTAAAAAAAACACTGAATGGCCAAGAAAACTATGTTTCTTAAGCCGAGATCAGAAAATCATTCACCAGCACCTAGACAGGGCCTGGGCCAGAGCTCTGGCTATAACTGAGGACACCTGGGGCCCTTGCAGCCGTCAGCGCTTCTCAAGGACAAGCCACATGTCTCACCCCACCTCCACTTTAGAGCTGGGGACACTTAAGCCTGGCTGTGGAGGACACCAGCTCCTTCCCCTTGATGTAAAAATGGCACTGCTTTTGTGGGGCTGTGGAACAGGTTGAACCAGCGATTCTGAACTGGGAGCGATTTTACCCCTAGGGGATGTTTATGAGGTTTGGGGACGCTTTTGCTGTTCATGGTCTGGGGCGTGTGAGTGCTACTGGCACCGCGTGTGTAGAGGCCAGGAGTGCCGCTAACACCCTCCAACACACGGGAAGGCCTCCTACCCCAGGGAAGTTCCTGCTCCGAATGCGACTGTGCTAAGGGTGAGAGGCCTCCATTAAATGCAAGTGTGAAGCTCATGGCACTAGGAATATAATTACAACAACAGCTGCAATTTATTCAGCACTTAGCAAGCACTTGTGTTAGGAGGTTTGCTTTTCCTTCATTAAGTAAGTATTTATTTCGTTTGTACCTGGTTCAGTAAATATTGACTCTAGAGAGCATTTAATCATTAAAACAATGACAATGTAAAACAATAGTATATATGACAGTACTACATTTCATGAGCCCTTACCATGCGCCAAGCAGCAAGCTAGGTATTTTACTGGAGATATGTGTATGTGTATAAATATCACATAGAGGACATATATTATATAGATACATACTATATCATATATAGATACTGTGTGTATGTATGCTCATAAAACCTGCAACTACTTTATGATTGTCCGTGTTGAAGCTCTGGACACCCAGAGAGGTTGAGGACTGTGCTCAGCCTCACACAGTTAGGAAAAGGCAGGAGCTGGTGCGTTCAGCCAGCATTGTCTGCTTCTCAGGCAGGGGCCATTGTGAGGGAACTATGGACCAGCCAGAGCAGCCAGGATGGCCTCGGCATGGGTCAGGGAGAGATGGTGGTGGGCGGGGCTCAGGACCTGGCTGGAGGAGACAAAAAGCAAATTGGAGGGTGTCTTAGTCACTGCGTTACTAACAGAAATGCCTGACACTGATCGATATCATGAAGAAGAGAGAAGTTTACTTCGAAACTCATGGTTCTAGTTGCTGGAACTCCAAAGGCCCAGGGCCCACAGCGCGGCCTACAGAAGCACAGAGGATGGTTAAGTGTGTGCAGAGAGAGGACCAGCAGTTTTATGCTCTCTCTTTCTTTTCTTTATTATTATTTTTTTAGAGAGATTTTTGCTATGGGGTGCATGCACTCGCCAGAGAGACAGTAAGACAGATAGCAAGAAATCACCTCCTATGGGGATGGTCACACTGTAATCCCTTCCCCTCCATTCTCCTCTTGGGATTTTGGGCACACACACACATGCACCCAGCATGAGTTTAAGCCACTGGGTCTGGGATTTGAACTGCGGTTGACTATGTGGGAGTCCAGTAACGTAACAATTATGCCATCTGCTGGTCCCTCATGCTCTCTCTTTTCTAGCAAACAGTTCTCATGAGAACTAAACTCTTCTCAAGAGATCTAAAACACTGGATCTCAGGGCCAGTAGGTGGTGTAGTGGTTAAGGTGCTGGACTCCCATATGGCCAACTGTGGTTCCAATCCCAGACCTGGCCACTTGCTTTCTCACTTTCCCTCTCTCTCTGGTGAGCACATGTGTCCTATAGCAAATTTTAAAATAATACTAGTAATAACAATAAAAGTATATTAAAAATTCTTTAAAAAACTCACAGACATCACTAGTCTATTCATGAGAGCATTGCCTCCATGTCTCAGCCACCATAATTGCCAATCATGACCCATTAGACCTACTTCCTAACCTCCTATTCTGAGACATACGACTCTGAGGGACAAAGCATGACTCAAATCATAACAGAGGATCACACAGCAAGCACATGAAGACTTTGGGAGCCAGGCGTGTGATGGCAGCAAGCAGGGACGAAGCTGGCAAGCCGAGGTTCTCATCAGAAGATGCATGACGTGGGCATGTCTGGAAAGCAGCGAGTGGCGAAGACAGTGGTGAGGGAGGCGGCAGGGAGATGGGAGGAAAGCGCTCCAGGACTTCAGAAAGTTCACGGAAAGGGAACCAGCAGTTAGCATAATGGCTATGTCGCTGGACTCCCACGTAGTCGACCGCGGTTCACGTCCTGGACCCGGTGGCTTAGAACTCACGCCGGGCGCGTGTGCGTGCGTGCCCAAGATCCCGAGAGAAGAATGGAGCAGAAAGGATTGCGGCGTGACCATCCCCTCTGGGGGGTGATTTCTCGCTTTCTGTTTCTATGTCTCTCTCTGGCGAGCGCATGCGCCCTATAGCAAAAACCTCTCCAAAAAAAAAAAAAGTTCACGGAAAGATGGAATTAAAGCGTGAGTCTATTTTGTTGTAAACATTTTTTTGAAACCCAAATATTGCGTTTTCACAGTGGACATTTTCCATACCTTTGTGACGACCTCTGTGTGGGACACGCTCACACCGGGGAGCGGCCCCGGCCATGCCTTGGAGATTGGAGCCCGGGCTAGTGGTAAGCTGGCCGCGCTCACTTTGAGGAGGTGGCTTCTTCCCCTTGTTGCTGGCTGGTGGCCGCAGCTTCGTGTCTGGGGGAGGCAGGAGAACGCTGTACTGCAGATAGAAAGTGTGGATGACTGCCGAGGGGACAGGGGTGTGTCAAACGCTGGCCAACCCTGCTAGCCGTCAGGGGACTCTGCCCGAGACCTAGGGGGCAGTGGAGGAAGCTCGCTGCTGTGTTGTCCTGGGAAGTCCCACCTTGGGCTCCCCGACAGAGCTGAGTGAGCAGGTGCTCGGGTGAGTCTGTGAGGGCTATGTGCTTGGAGAGCCAGGGTGGGGCTCTGCGGGACTCAGTGAGCTGGGTAATCCGACCCAGGGGACCCACCCTTTAACTAGAGGTCACATATGCCTGCCAGAGAGAGACGGAAAGAGAGTAGGCAAAAGCACCTACTCCCCAAAAGGGCATGGTAATACCACAATCCTTTCTCCCCCATTTCTCCCTCTGTCTGGATTTTGGACATGCATGCACATGTGCCCGATGTGTTTTTAAGCTGCCAGATCTGGGATTTGAACCGTGGTTAGCCATGTGGGAACTGGATCCTTTAACCACTATGCTATGAGGTCAGCCCCATGCCACCATCATCCAGTGCAGCAACAGCTAGGACTCAGGGGCTGCAGGCAGTTCCAGCACCCTCCCTCACGGCGGCGGCGACCTTGGGTTAATGAGAGAAATCAGCTTTCTTTCCTCTCCAGCTCTGGCGCTCACCTCTCCTCTGGCTCTGCTTCCGGATCTAGAGCTCATCGGTGCCTGTCCTGGGGAGGCAGATGGACTAGCTGACCTGCATTTTTATTCAGAAGGGATCTGGGCAGAAGCCCAAAGTGGGTTCAAGTTTTGGCCTCCTTGTCTTCTCAACCCTCATCTCCAGCCCTTTCTTTAGACTGTGGTGTCCTCGCCCACGGTGTTGGGATGGGGCTAAGGTCGGCTACACTGATGGCTTTCTTCTGACACACTGGTGCACTCTCTCCACTTCCCGGTGCCCCCTCCTGAGCCCCTTCTCATGCTCCGACGCAGAACGCCCCCACCCCGTGTCGTCGCCACGGCCAAGGCCAAGCTCCACGCTAAGCCCTTCACTCAGCCCACAGCCCTGCCAGCCTCGCTGTGTGCATTTCACGAGGGAAGAAACCGAGGCCTGGAGAGGTGCAGTGAATGAGATGATAGACTCAGGCCCCAGCCCTGGCCTCCTGCACGTGAACGTGTTCAGTACTTACACTGAATTGCTTCTTTGCCGATGTCTTGTTCTCCCCAGAAAAGGAGAAGACCAAGCTGCAGAAGCAGAGGGAGGATGAGCTAATCCAGAAGATTCACAAACTGGTGCAAAAGAGAGACTTCCTGGTGGACGACGCGGAGGTCGAGCGGCTAAGGTGAGTGGCTGCACGTCCCGAGCACCGGGCTGCCAGATCCCAGCCTTCAGCTTCCCTCCAGAACCCGTCATCTTCCCTGGGACTCACAGCCCTGCCAAACAGGCCTGCCTCGGCCAGCACTCCCAGCCTCCGAGGACCCATTTCCCATTCAAGAGAAACTCAAATTTGGCTCCAGAAAGTCTGGACAAGGCCTGTGTGTCCTAAGCAAATGCTGTCTGAGAAGGTGAGCTGGGAGGAGGAACCCCACCTCTCACATGGCAGGGTTCCCACAGACCCTCCCAGTTCATCAAGGAAACGCTCGAAAATTCTGTCAATTTCCACAGAAACTACACCCCTGTACTTCCCTGCCTGGGCAGCTTCTCCGCTTTGCTCTTTTCTTATCCTTTCCCCTGGTGGCTTCGATGCCCTTCCCTAGCTAAGAGGGCCTCCTATTTGCACCCTGCCACCTGGACCACCACAGGCCCCAGGAGCCACGGTGAACTGAAGAGTCCTGAGGGGGCTCCACTTGGAAAAAGCTGTAAATGTTGATTCTTGAATATTTTTGCCCCGATCAAGGCCTTGGGAGCCCTCTACAAGAGAGACCCTCGAGTCGGTCCCCTTCCAACCCAGGGGACCTTCCTCTATTCTCTGTGTCCTCTAAGACCCCTCTCCAAGGCCTCTGGGATGTACTTTACCCCTCTCAGTCAGGTTGAGCCCATCAGCTTTATTTCTGGTGACGCTTGAAAGAGCTCATGGGATGCCCTCTGACACCTGCTGTGGACCTTGTAGGAGCAGAGCTGATTAGGGTGGCTTAAAGTGCAGGCTCAGGAGAGGCGTTGCTCAGCTTGCCGAGGGCCCAGGGGGAAGCTGGGGCCTCTAATGTCCCTGCCTCTGCCCTGGTGTCTCACCGCAGCTCTGGATAAGCTTACCCCATCACCGAGGGCTGTCTGTGGCTCAGAGCAGTTCATCAAACTCAACATACATACGCCATACACACATAGCACACAACAACATACATGCACCATCCACAAAACCTAGTATGTGGTCCCACGCACTGAACCTCTTGCTTCATCTCTTTGCTTTCTTGATGTTTTCTTTGCTTACTGTTCTTTCCTCTTTTCTTTTGCACGTCTGCCTTCGCAGGGAGCAAGAAGAAGACAAGGAAATGGCAGATTTCCTGAGAATCAAGTTAAAACCTCTAGACAAAGTAACCAAATCTCCAGCCAGTGAGTGCATGCAATATTTCTCCTCCCCCTCCACAAAAAGGATATTTCAAAGTGGTCTGGGAGTCAGAGGGGCACAATGAGATGCTTTCTAGACGAACTTGAGCACAACCCCGCAGGACAGCCACAGGTGGGCCCGCTGTTTGTAAGCTGTGCTGTTGCCAGGGCGCTGCGCCTAGAACGTTGTGCTTGGTTTAATCTTCTGCTGCTGCTGCCTTGAAATCCCTAATCATTTTGGAACAAGGCACCTTGGATTTTAATTTTGGACTGAAGCTCACGACTAGGTAGCTGGTTCTGGCAGCAGCTGTCTCTCCCTGATCATACGGTTTGAGCCATTTCATAGACAGAATGGGGTGGCCACTGAGACTAAGGGAGATCGGACCTCTACTCGAGCTGGAATCTCTGGAGGACCTATAAACATACTTCTCAGAACAGTAACCTCATGAGACACTCAGCGTAAAAAGGGCTCGGCATGAAATAAGTTTGTGAAGTGCTGAGAATCTGACTCGCTGTTTAGAGGGTCCCAATGCTCACTAGGGTACTAGAGTGGTAATGGCTCCTGCTGTCAAGGAACTGTCCTCTCTTGGTTGACCGTGTTGGTCAAATGTATGTAACTGCTGTACAAGTGAGGCCTCTCAGTCATTAGAAATTGATAGCCAGGGGCCAACAGGTGGTATGGTGGTTAAGGCGCTGGACTCCTGCATGATAGACCACAGTTTGAGTCCTGGACCTGGTGACTTGCTTTCTCACTTTCCCTCTCTCTCTCTCTGGTGAGCACACGTGCCCTATAGCAAATTAAAAAAAAAAAAAAAGTAATGATGAATAAAATTAAATAAATAGTTCTTAAAAAAATGGATATCCAGGACCAGCAGTTAGCGTAATGGCTATGTCACTGGACTCCCATGTAGTCGACCATGGTTTGCGTCCCGGACCTGGTGGCTTAAAACTTACGCTGGGCGCATGTGCGTGCACGCCCAAGATCCCGAGAGGAGAATGGAGGAGAAGGGATTGTGGCGTGGCCATCCCCCCTGGGGGGTGATTTCTCGCTTTCTATCTCTCTGTCTCTCTCTGTCTGTCTGGCGAGTGCACGCGCCCTATAGCAATAACTTCTCAAAAAAAAAATGGATATCCAATTCAAATTTGCACAGGCAAAAAGAAGAGGACTTGTTAGAAAAAGAACAAGAAGTAGCTTCAGGGACTAAAGGCCCTCACTTCCCCTCCGCTTCCTATCTCCACCCTTGTTGCATGATGGCCTCATTTGTTTCCCTACTAGACAGGACTTCGTTGTGGGGCTGGAACCCCAGAACCATCGCTCAGCAGCTCCCAGGCAAGGCAACAGGTTCATTCTCCTGGTATTAAACACACAATAGCTAAGAAGGAAGGATTCTGCTTGGCCCTTCTTGGCTCTTGCTCCCACCTGTCAGGCCCATCACTGTCACCAAGAGGCTGGGTCACTGGGATTGGCCAGGGCTGTGTCACATGCCCACTCCGGCAGCCACAGGGACAGGAGCTACTTCTAAGGGGAGACTGGGAATCTTGACAGGAAGACAAAAGCCCCAAGCGGCCACACCGTGCACCACAGTCCAGTCGTTCCTAACTATCCATCAACACACCGTGAGAACATGGTGATGGAGTGGGGAGTGAGGAAAGAGAAGGGTGTGGTCCTTTCGACTGGCCCCTAAAACTACGAAGCACATGATCCTTCCCTAAGGCCAGCATTCTTTTTTTTTTTAATTTTTATTTATTCATTCATTTTATTTTAATTTGATCAGAGAGAGATAGAGAGAGAGAGAGAGGGAAAGTGAGAAAGCAAGCCGCCAGGCCCAGGACTTGAACCGTGGTCAGCCATGTGGGAGTGTCCAGCACCTTAACCACCACGCCACTGCTGGCCCCAAGCCCAGCATTCTTAATGAACTGTCTGTCTCTTTCATGAAAGGCAAAGCAGGGACCAGCAGTTAGCATAATGGCTATGTTGCTGGACTCCCACGTAGTCGCCCGCGGTTCGAGTCCCGGACCCGGTGGCTTAAACTCACGCCGGGCGCGTGTGCGTGCGTGCCCAAGATCCCGAGAGGAGAATGGAGGAGAAGGGATTGCGGCGTGGCCATCCCCCCTGGGGGGTGATTTCCTGCTTTCTGTCTCTCTCTGTCTGTCTGGCGAGCGCACGCGTCCTATAGCAAAAACCTCTCAAAAAAAAAAGGCAAAGCAGAAAAACTCTATTTGGCCATGTGGAGACAGAGCAGGAAACTTGCTTCTGTATAGTTAAACATGGAAAAAAGAAACGATTCTAGCAAGAAACCAAAACACTAAGCCTACATCACATGCAAGGGGACAAACGTGGGCCTCAGTCTGCACTATTTGTCTGGTACTAAAGTCCCAAGTTGGAAAATGAAAGCTACACATAAACCAGAGAAATTTCTGGGATCCTCTCAAAAGCCAATATAAAACCGCTCAGTAGGGACACTTGTGCACCCCACGGCACACAGAACATGAAGATGAGCTCTCAATAAAAATTAAAAACCCATGAAGCACCGTGAGGGAAATCAGTAGATGTGAGAAAGAATGGCCTCCTGAGAGCCAGAAATAATAAAACTATTTTAAAAAGACAATAAATGAAGTATATTTAAATTATTAAAGAGGTAAGGGAAGGGATCAAAACCAAAATGAAGCAGCAGGATGTTATGAGAAAGGAGTACGTAGACTTGCAAAATTGCATTCTAAAAAAAGTGATCGCTGATATAAACGCTCAGTGGATTAAAGACAGAGATGAAGCTGAAGGGGGGATTCAGAAATGGGAAGGCAGATCTCAGTAAGCTTCTGAGTGCAGCACGAAGAGAGAAGGAGATGAGAAAAAAATGAAAGCGAGACCAGTAGGTGGTATGGAGGTTAAAGCACTGGGCCCACATGGCCAGGTTGCTCAGTTTGCGTCCCAGACCCAGCATCTTGAAAATCATGCCAGGTGCATGTGTGTGGATGCCCAAAATTCCTAGAGGAGACCGGAGGAGAAAGGATTGTGATATGGCCATCCCCTGGGGGAGGGGGCGGAGGTCTCACTTTCTCTCTCCTTCTCTGTCTCTGGCAAGCGCACATGTTCTATAGCAAAAATAATAGTAAAATGGAAGAGAGGTTATGAAACATAGAAGACAGAATGAGAAAGTCCAACTTACATCTAATGGGCATTCCAGAAGGAGAGAAAACAGAACCGGAGGCGGGGTGTCTGAAGAGATCATTTGTGAGCGCTTTCCAGAATTGGAAAACACGAGCCCACTGATCGAAGCGACTAGGCCAAGAGTTCCCACTTATTCCTTTACCAAACACTTCCTGAGCACTAGGCCCTGGGCAGGGATAGCAGACACCGTGGGCAGCAGCACTGACCAGAAGGCGGGTGGAAAGCTATGGGTGGGAGCCAGGGGACCGCAGGGGAGCGAGGACAGTGACCACAACCATGTAAAACGCACACTGGCTCTCCTGGTCAGCTAAACAAGGCCTGGCCAGGGGGCAGAGCCGGGCTATGGCTGCGGATGGCCAGGACCCCTCGCCTCATCTCTCTGTGTGACCCTTTGCCCTCTCTCCTGGCTGCAGGTTCCCGGGCAGAGAAGAAAGCAGAGCCCCCACCCAGCAAGCCCACCGTGGCCAAGACAGGGCTGGCGCTCATCAAGGATTGCTGTGGGGCCACCCAGTGCAACATCATGTAGCCCCCAGAGGGGCGCCCCGGGGCCACAGGGACCCCCTCCCACCCTCTTGTCTTCGTAGCCCCATGTCACTGGGGCCCAAAGCTCTCCAAGGTGGAAGGGGTTGAAGGCAAGGCTGGGACTGCCGCCAGGGGCCATGGGCGCGGCAGGCGGGCCCGGCCGCCCTGTACAGAGTGTAGCAATAGGGAGTCCCTCACGTCGCATGGCCCTCCCCAGAGCATGCCGAACCCAGGAGTCTGTCTCCCTGTTTATCCAACCACCAGGAAAGGTCCTCCCTCCAAGTCTATCTCCACTTCTCTCTAGCTGTATCTAACCCACCGTGTGAGCGAACTGGGCGAGGGGCCCGACCCCAGGTGTGTATAGCTGTGGCTTCCTGACACTCTCGCACCATGTTGGACACGTCCCCCATCCACCCTCCTTGCTCTGTCAGGCCTGCCCCAAATGGGCATATGTCCTGTCCCCCCCGTCTGTCCTTGCCCAGGGGCTGTGCCTGGAGGGCTCCGCGCAGCACGCGCCCCTCAGGCACCATCAGTATAGCATTCCCGGAGACACAGAGGGCCCATCTATACAGACCCAGCTTGCGCGTGGTGTCTGGTCACATCTGCTTCCTCCCATCCTGTGTCCGGGCGTGGCTCGCATCGAGAGGGTGTCCACTGCACTCCTCGCTCTCCCCCGCTCGCCATGCCAGCCCAGGTGTCCGGAGCAGAGTGGGGAGGGGAGACGGGCTGGAGCACACCCAGACTTGGAAGACGTAGCAGAGAGCCGGAGGCTCCACCGTCATGACCAGGGTGGATGCGAAGGGGGCCCAGAGCAGAGGCCACCAGGGGCACTCTTCATCCACTGGGGCCACCACAGCAGGACACCCCCGCCGGCCCAACACACAGACCTCCCTCCCTACAGACACAGCGACCGTGAGAGAAGCAGCCTGGCCCCGCTGTGTCCCATCACCTGGTGGCTCTTTTAACCAGCCTAATGATTCCACCTGTGTGACTTGTACGTTTGCTACCGCCATCCCGGCACAGCCCGTGTGACCTCTGTACGTGTGTGTCGTGCCCGGCCTCAGTAGTTAGCGTAACTCCAGATTCGCTCGTGTGCAATCACCCACCAGAGAAAATAAAACGGAACCCACGTACACGGCATTCGACGAGCTCTGACTTTTTTCTCGGGATGGAAGTCCTCCATGTACATAGTAAATCATTTTAAATGTACAGAAAGCATCAAGACGTTTCTTTTTTAAAATAAACACCCATGGTTCCTTCAACTAGAGACCCTTCAACATCCTGGCATGGTTCCTTTCATCTTTTTTCGTGCGTTTCTTTCTGCGTGATTGCCATCAGATTGTACCATTTTATAAGCAGGTTTGTTTTTTTCCATATTAGTTGTTATATCGCAACCGTCTCTGACATCATTAAAAGCTCTTTGTAAACATTAAACACTTCATAAATATACAATGGCTGCTTAGTAATCCATTTTATAGCTGCATGGTGATTTATCGAACCATCTTCTCACTCCCAGACATTTAGACTGCTTCTGGTTTTTCAGTTTTGTAAATAGTGTCGCAGTAGGTAGTGGGAGGTTAAGGCGTCATCTGAATTTCTCTTTTTTAAAAGAATTATTTATTTAAATTTATTATTATTATTTAATTTTATAAGGCACACGTGCTCAACCAGAGCGAGAATGAGAGAACGTGAGAAAGCAAACCATTAGGTCCAGGACTTGAACCTTGATGGGCCATGTGGGAGTCCAGCACTTTAAACACCACACCACCTGCTGGTCTCTCTCTCTTGCACATGTGCACATCCAAGAGAAAGGGGGAGAGAGAGGGGCACCCCCCCGCAGTGTCCAGTCACCCCACAATGCCCTTCCTCCAATGCACCAGCTCACTGGGACCTTGGGCATACACACACATGTCCAGCATGTTTTCAGGCCAAAGGGGCTGGGGACTTGAACCTGGTTAGCATGTGCTTCCAGCTCCGCAATCTAGTACGCCACCAACAGCACCACAGAAGCTGGGCCTCACCTGAAGTTCTGATTTTTCCTTGAGAGAAACCCCCAGAAGTCAAGCTTCTTGAGCTGTTCGTGAGTAGCATTTTCAAAATATTTATACATGGAGCCAGCAGATGGCATCACCATGACATCTGGACTCCCCTGTAGCTGACTGCAGTTTGAGTCCCAGACCCAGTGGCTTGAAAATCACACCGGGTGCATGTGCGTGCGGGTCCAAGATCCTGGGAGGGGAATGGAGAAGGGACTGCAGCGTGGCCATGCCCCCGAGGGGTGATCACTCACTTTCCCTCTCATTTTCCTCTTTTCTCTCTGGCAAGCACACGCACTCTAAGGCAAAAAAAGTCTAAAAAAAAAAATTGTACATCAGAAGTGAGTCTGAATGTCTCTCAAGTCACAGCAGCCCGGGAGTCGGCACAAGTAGCTGGCTGTGGCCCCACTGTCTTGGGTTTGGTGGCTCCTCCTGTGGGCATGACCCAGCCTCTCCTGCTGTCTCAGGGGTGACTTGTCAGTGCAGACTTTTGGTCTGAACACCGCATTCTGCCATTCTGATGCTAAGGAGGCTCCCTCGGCCCATTCAGGGCCACATGCTGGCCTCAGGGGACACGTGTCCTTCTCCATTACCCTAGACTGAGCACCAAGAAAGACTAGCAGTTTCCGAGGGCTGCCAGAACAAATATCTCAAACTGGCTTAAAACAACAGATGTATGGGGACCAGCAGTTAGCGTAATGGCTATGTCGCTGGACTCGCACGTAGTCGACCGCGGTTTGTGTCCCAGACCTGGTGGCTTAGAACTCACGCTGGGCGCGTGTGCGTGCATGCCCAAGATCCCAAGAGGAGAATGGAGGAGAAGGGATTGCGACGTGACCATCCCCCCAGGGGGGGGGTGAATTTCTCGCTTTCTGTCTCTCTGTCTCTCTCTGTATGTCTGGCGAGCGCACACGCCCTGTAGCAAAAATCTCTCCAAAAAAACCAAGAGATGTAGGGGCCAGCAGGTGATATGGTGGTTAAGGCTGCTGGACTCCCACATGGCCGACTGCAGTTCAAGTCCTGCACCTGGCAGCTTGCTTACCTTCCTTCTCTCTCCATCTCTCTGTGTTCAAAAATGTAAAATAATGACAAATAAAATGAAATAATTCTAAAAATTGTTAAAGTGTTTTTTAAAAAAACAACAAAGAAACAGATGCATGCCTGCGTGGTTCTGGAGGCCAGGAGTCCACAGCCGAGGAGTATGCACCCTCTGAAGGCTCTGGGGACAAAGCTAGCCTCGCCTCTTTCAGCTCCTGGTGGCTCTCGGCAGTCCTTGGCATTTTTTGGTGTCATCATTCCAGTCTCTTCTTTCATCTTCTCATGGCCTACCGTCTCGGTGTGTATGTGTGTGTATCCTTTCTCTGTCTTACAGGGATGCAGATGCTGGATTTAGGGCTCCCCCAATCTAGTATGACCTCATCTTCATTAATTACTTCTGCAAAGACTGCTTATTTCTTCTTTCTCTCTCTTTGAGAGATTTTTGCTATAGGGCACATGCGCTCACCAGAGAGAGACAGAGAGACAGAAAGCGAGAAATCACCTCCCAGGGGAGATGGCCACCAACTTATGTAGAAACTTGCTACCATGAAGGCTATTTTCAAAGAACTGTTGAGTTGGCAGGTGGCATGGTGGTTAAGCAGATCACACAGTTCGAGTCCTAGACTGGGTGGCTTGAAAAACATGTGGGGCCCATGTGTGTGCATGCCCAAAATCCTGAGAGGAAAATGAAGAAGGGATTGCAGTGTGGCAACCCCCCTAGGGGGGTGATTTCTCACCTTCCCTCTGTCTCTCTCTGGCAAGTGCATGTACTATAAAGCAAAAAAGAACAAGAGGGGAGGGGAGTGGCAGGGCAAAGGACAAAGAATGAACTGTCAGAGGTTTTCAGAGTTTTTCAATGTTGAACTTAAAACAGACTGCGCTTTATGAAGAAGCAATTTTACTGGAACATGCAAGCCTCTTTGAAATCCCTTCCAGGAAGTGGCGGTGAGGAAGGGTAGTGATGGCTTTAGGAGGCTTCACAACTGAGTCTGGGAGAAGTCTTTTCCCGACATGCTTATTCAAAAACTGTTCAGCAGTGGGAACCAGCAGTTAGCGTAATGGCTGTCACTGGACTCCCACGTAGTCGACATTGGTTTGCGTCCCGGACCCGGTGGCTTAAAACTCACGCCGGACATGTGTGCGTGCGTGCCCAAGATTCCGAGAGGAGAATGGAGAAGGGATTGTGGCGTGACCATCCCCTCGGGGGTTGATTTCTTGCTTTCTGTCTCTATGTCTCTGTCTGGCGAGTGCATACACCCTACAGCGAAAACCTCTCAAAAAAAAAAAAACCAAAAAAAAAAAACTGTTTAGCAGTGACTGAAAACAAGGCCACAAAGTAGGTTTCTTCCACAAGGAGAGAGATCCTAGGAATTAATCCAGCTCTCTAGCAGGGGTTTCTGTGCTTACTGCATGTCCCCAGACACGATCATATGCTGGAACTAAGGCTGTGTGACCCCACCTGTCGGATCAAGTCCGAGATCGCCTGGACTCTAAGATGTCAACCCATTTCCTGTCTACCTCCCAGTTTTATTTTCAGAGAAGGTGAGAAGTTGGGGGGACCCAAAATGAAAGATGCTAGAACTGGGCTCATTTTTAATTTCTCCCCATCTCCCGCAGGTAGACAAAACGATGCGTTTGGAAAACTCAAATTAGATGCTTGCTTGTAAAGTTTATTGACAACTGTTTGGTCCCAACACACAAAACAGCACTTGAACCACAAAAAAAGTGTTCAAACAAAGTAGACAGTTAGGATAACATCTCTTCCCCCAAGCCCAATCCAAAACAAACAGTGCAAGACGGGAAAGGGGGTTCTGGTGATAATTTTTGTCTTTTAACGGGTCAATCTCATCTGGTACATCTCTCCACCCAGAAATAAAGAATCCCATCGCCTGATGCTCACACATCACTTTGTCGCATCATCGAAATAAGCCTCTGGATAAAAAATAAGACGCAAATGCACTGGCCATTGAGGAGTGCGCTGCGAACACGGCGTGCTTCCGTTGTGTCCCCCGTCTCCAACAGCGACTGCTAGTCACACACACAGCCCGGACTAACCGGCAACGCCCGTGAGTGGTAGGAGGGCACCCTCACACGAAGGCGCAGAACTTGTTTCTTCTTTGTTGCCCAAAGAACCTGCTCTTTGAGACTGTTCCAAGTGACTTGTAACGATACCTCTGGGGTTTTAAAAGTCCACAATTCTTTACATACTAGCAAAACTGAAGTCCAAGCGTGCAAATCTGCCTAATGAAGTCTCAGGATAAGGCAACCGATGTTCTCAACACCAACTTTATTACACTGTTTAAAAGAGTCTCTTAAAAAAAAATTGCACATTTGCATTTGACTTCCTGTAACACTATGTCTGTAGAGGAAATGCCTTCAGAAGGGCTCACCAAGTGCCGTAATACTTAGACTGTTTCTCCACTCTTGTTTTGTCTTGATTAGGGCTGTATGCGGAGAACTGGGGATCACTGGCTTCATTTAAAAGATTGGGGAAACAAAAATCTAACCAGTAAAAATCTCTCAATAGCCCTTATTTTGTGGCATTTCATCAAAATGCTGGCTATGAAATCAGAGCCCATTTTCTGGCTTTCTAGAAATTACAAAATATAAACACTTCCCTGAAAGAAACCATCTAACCAGTGGAAGACCTTGAGCCAACAGGTTCTTTCTGCTCTATGAATGAATCCGCCTTTTTTTTTTTTTCCCCAACAAATACAATCCATTGTAAATGTCAGGTTTTTCCAAGAGGGTGAGAGGCCACCCATCAGCGGACACCCTGAGCATCCAGAGAGGAAGGCCACTCCACAAGGTAGTGCCCTCCAAGGCTGGCTTTTCCCAAATGCCAACATCAGACACCACAAAAAACCCAAACGTGCTTCCAATGGCAAGAAGTAACAAGAGTAAAAACAGACACTATTAAAAGATGCAGAGCTAACACACACACACATGTACTCATGGAAAGCTTCCCAGCCACCAAAACCAGCTTTAAATGACAAAAACAAGGTTAAGTTGATCAACCTTGGCCTTCGTACCACGGAGAGAATTCCTGCCTCTTTCTAGTGCAAGCGGTATTGACGTCGCTCCTGTGAAAGCACCTCGCCACTCAGCTGATTTGTAATTTATGCATTTGATGCATAGTTTAGAAAATCAGACTCTCTTCCCAACATTGCCTCTCGACACACAATCCTGTGTGTTGTCATTCAAATGCTGACGTTAAATTCATGCCACCAAGACCATCTCCTTTTCCTTAACCTAATCCATATCAAACTGGAGCATAAGACAGGAGGGAAGCTTAAAACAGCCTCGACTTTCTAGAAAGCGCCTCAATGGAACCCCAAAGTGGAAACACTTAAAAAAACCGATGATGAAGCCACATTTGTCAGCTACAGACATAGTTAAATAAAATGCAAGGCATGTTTACAAGTCACGTGGAAGTCAGGAACCTGCTTATTCCGACCTGACAATACACTCTCAGCTCCCTGCCTACCTTTCCCCTTTGGTGTGTGAACTCGCGGGCTCACAGAACAGGCTTTGCTTCCAGGACACTTCGTGCATTTGATTAATACTGCTGGAGCCATCAGGAAGCAATGGCTGAGAGGCTGTATTATGCTACGTGTAGGATTACACCACGGACGTGGCTCAGTGGAAGGAAAACCACTTCCTGCTAGCTGAATTCCCACTGCTTTCTTCTTAGGGAACACCATAATATTTTTTAATAGTTAAAAAAAATCTGGGTAAAATAAATTAAGGATTCTTTAACAAATGCCTAAAGCTCTCTCAAATAACTGAAAAAGGAAGAAAGGAAAGAAGAAAGAAAAACTTCAGCTCAAAGCTGTGTTCAATGAGAAGGGAACAAAACCACTGTGGAATACATCTAGAGATGAATTACGTGGCTTCCAAGGGGTTTTCATTAAAATAGAAAAGGATGTCTTGAACCCATTTTTGTGTGCAGAATCAGACAGTTTTTCCCCATCCTAATTCTATGTTCCAATGGAGCTAAAGCTTGGTTCCAGGTGCAAAGGAAAAGTTGGCTGCCAATTTCACTCTATTTTTGGGTTGCTTTTTGGCTGGGCTTTCCACGGGGTCCTTGCTGAGCAGCAACTCGGGGGTTTCCATGGAGGCACAGGGAGGCACTGGGACAGCTGCCGACACGTGGGACGCGTTAGGGTCACAGGTCAGTTTTTCGTTCTTTACTGGTACTGGAATTTCAATGGTTTCTTCTTGGTTTAAAATCGTAGCTTCTGCAAATATAGAAAAGCAAATGGACTCAGTTCTAAGACCTGTAAGAAGTGACAGTTTTCAGGTTTTTTGTTTGTATTTTCTCAACAAACGGCTTAAAAATAACCTCCCAAATGTCAAGTCTGTATCACAATTTACATACTATGTGGCTAATACTACATGTCACAGAAATCAAATATTTATAAACTACATCTCATCTGTCCCCTGGAAAACAAAGTTTTACTTTTAGAGATTCTCACTTTTGGCTACGAATCAATGGGCAATTTTTAAACAAGTTATAATTAATTTCTTCAATTGCTAGAGGGCATGTGCACTCGCCAGAGAGGGGAAGGAAGCACCTCTTAATGGGCATGGTGGGGCCACGCTCCCTTCCCTTCCACTTCTCCATCCTGTGAGGATTTGGGGCGAGTGAACCCACCTGTTCAGCATGTTTCTCTAGCTGCCGAGACCAGGATTCAAACAGTCAGCCATGTGAGATCCAGCTCCCTTAGCCACCAGGCTACGAGGCTGCCCCAAAATTCTTTATTACTTTGGATTCTCTGCCTATTCATTCTGTCAGGTGGTTAAGAACCGTAAGCCACATGTGACCTAAAGACTGCCTGGTCCAATAGCGACCTTAGGGTCAGGGAGCTCTCTCCCACACTCCACTTACAGACGATCCTACTCTGAGTGGTTTTAACACGGGACTAGGGGGGAACTTATCTGTGGTAGGGGGTTTCACAATTACCCTAAAAAACCCAGAAAATCAGACATAGCCATGACTTTGAGGGGTTTAAGACTTCAGTGGGTGAAATAACTGCAGATATGGTAGAAATATAAAGAGAACTAGAATTGAAGTGGAGTCTGGGGCTAGCAGGTGGCTTGGTGGCTGGGGCACTGGACTTCCACACGGTAGACCATAGTCTGAGTCCCAGACCTGACGGCGTGGTTTCTCACTTTCCTTTTCTCACTCGCTTTGTCACTCTCTGGTCAAATAAAAAAATAAAAACAAATAAAATAAAAATAAATAATTTTTAAGAAGAATAAGAAAAGTAGAGCCTGCAGATATAAGTGAATCACTGCTATCTTGCGACAGAACCCAAATGGAAGAGGAGCTGCTCATTATGGATGTCAAAGTGGTTTCTTAAGATGGAATCTATGCCTGGTAAAGATGCCGTGGACGTGGCTGAAATGACAACAAAAGAAACCATGTCATCTTAGTTGACGAAGCAGCAGCAGGGTCTGAGGACTAAACCCGATGTTGAAAGAAGTCCTACTGCGGGAAAAGGCCACCGAGCAGCATAATGTGCGACAGAGCTCTTCTGTGAGAGGGAGAGTCTGTCAAAGACAACCTCACTGCTGTCTCATTTTAAGACACTGGGACAGCTGTGCCAACCTCTAGCAGCCAGCCCTCATCAGTCAGCAGCCATCAACAGTGAGGCAAGACCCTCCATTATTAGCACAAACTTCAGATTCGCTGAGGGCTCAGATGATCATTAGCACTTGTAAGCAATCAAGTATTTGTATTTATGTATGTTGTTTTTAAGGCACAATGCTATTGCAAACTTCACAGGCTACAGGTCAGTGTAATCTGACTCTTACATGCACTGACAAATCAAGGGATTTGGATGGCTCCCTTTACTGTGGTGGTCTGGAACTGGCCCTGCAGTATCTCCGAGGCATGCCGATCCAGAACCATGCTGCCTGAAAAGGAGTGTCATTATACCTCAGACTGACACTGCATGTGGCAAAGGGGTCTTGCTACCAAAAGGATGGAAAAGGTGAGAATGACACAGGAGACAGCAGAGTCACAGAATCGCCCTCTCTCCAGTCTCTCCCTCGTCACGTGCCTACGGCTGAACTCACGTACACTAAATGCACAGAAGCTACCACCCTTCAGAGCTGCCACCAACCTGCCACCAACCCTGGCTTCACGTCCAGCGGCACATGTGGTAAGTCTGCCCCTGCCTTCATGAGCCACGTCTCATTTCAGGGCATGTCCCCCATCTCTCACCTTCCAGGTTCTCTGACTGGACAGCAGTGTAAATGCTGCGTAAGGAGAGTAAGGACAGTGAAGTGCCACTGGGGAGTCAGTGAGCGGTCTCTGGCGATCTGGAGAGCAGTCGTGGGGGGAGGGAGAGACTGCACAACAGTGGAGCAAGAAAGGAAGGACTCCACAGAGCAGGCAAGAGTCCTCTCAGAAGGCCAGCTGACACAGCAGGAAGACAAAAGGCCCTGGTCTCAACTCCCAGCTGTGGCCTGTCTGAGCCAAGGTGTGGCTCTAGCTATGGCACAAGCCATGCCTTAGTCACTCCTCCCGCCCTGCCCCCTGGGAGGATGACCCACTGCAGAGCTGTGGTGAGAATTACGTGACAGTGTTGGCCCAAGCACAGGCCAGCACACGGTGAGAGCACCAGGACATACCTAATGCCCTGCTGGCAGGAAGCCAGGACCCAGGGTGCCAGCTTCCTCTCCATGCTCCGATCACTGAGTCAAGGGCTCAAGCACAGAGCCTCCCTCCGTTCAGGCCTTCACAAAGCCCAATACCCTCTGGGCCCCAACCAGAACTGATGTGTGTGTGTGTGCGTGTGCGTGTCTGGTAATGGGTGTGCTTGAGGACAGCTGAACCTCTAAAAAGGCTGAAAAGCCAAAAGCCTAGGAGGCATGTCCTTCATCCCTCTGCGGATTCTCTCAGCCACATCATCCCTCCAGCCCGAACATCACTCCCTTGCCTTATACTCCCTAAGCAACTGCAGGCTGTGAATCCAGGTTTGCAGGAACCCTGAATGATCAGCATAGGTGTTTTTATACCTGAAAAGGTTCATGTCTTCCCACCTCCATCACACCTTTAATATACTATCATTATGGTGTTTTTTTAAATCCACAAAGAAAACGCTTATCACAACAGGGTGGACCTACCAGAAGGCTCTTGGGGGTGTTCCTCAAACAGAATAAGATCACCAGGCTGGAGGATGACAGGATCTGGTCTCAGCTGAGGGGACGGCAGGCATGAAGGGACGGGCGCACACAGGAGGTCGATCGGGGAGTCGTTGGTCAGGCGGAGAAGCTCCTGCTCTGTTTGACCGGGCCCTGGACAGAGAAGGCAGACCGTGATGCTACACATCGCGACGGCAGCCTACCAAAGCACAAAGGCCAGGTCTGTGCTGAGGTTCCCTTCCTAAACCTTAGAGATCAAAGTCAGGAGGTACTCCAGTACTCAAGCTTAAAAAACAACAAAGAAACAAACAAAAAAAAACCATTAACAGAAAGATCCTCAGTAGATGAAATGTCACAAGCCAGTACCTCCCAGGGATTTGGGTTTCTAAGAACACCAGCCCCTCAAGGGGCTGAGAAAAAAGGTTCTGCAGTCAGCTCCCAAAGAGAGGAGATAAAGAAACCCCAAGAAGGAATATAAAGGAGTTAGGGAAGAAAAGCACAGAATTATCAGACTAGGATCCTGGTTCTTTGACTTCCTACCTGAGTGATCATGGGTAAAAATGTAGCTGATGTCCCAGGATTTCAGCTCCTCCGCTGCAGAATGGAGGTGACTATTGCTAAAGGCTATGAGACAGCTTACGCAGATGCTTTACAGAACACGGAGTAACTGACTTATCCTACAGACAGAGAGGGCAGTAGCTCTGCTATCGATCTCGCAGTCACACGAAGAGAAAATTCTCATATGTAACAATGAATCCAAAGGCCCTGCCATAAAGTTAAAACTGCTATAAACTTTGATATAAAATTTAGTTATTTCTCTCTACTAGAGCTGGTTCTACATAAACCTATGTGACTCAGTGCTCCTATGAGCAACAGTAATGCACTACCATCAAGCCTTTCCTAGAAATGGCCACGGACAGAACTCCTTGACCAAACCGTAGTGAGGCTGCTGTGTACCCTAGTCCGGACCAGGCTTGACCTAGGCCTTCTGCGTCAGTCCTGTACTGCTGAGTCAGCTTAGTGCGCACCCCCTGCCCTTGATACCCAATCTCCCACAATACGTGATCAGACTCCTCGCCTCCAACCTTCTGTGGCTAAGCCCTGGGCCTTCCTACAGCAAGAAGCCAATCAGTCCAGCTCAGCCACAGTCCCCCTCCGACGGTGTCTTTTTTTCAGTGATGTTCCTTCGCTGATCCCTCACTCTGCTCCTCAGCTCTCAACCCCACCGATCCTTGGATTCAGAGCAGATGTGGCCTCTATTGCAATAGTCTTAAATGACCATTTAACAAGTGTCAGAGTAATTTTTTCCTCAACACCTGAATTAACAGTATTTATTGTTATGGAGATGCCAAGGTCCTTTTTCTTTCTTTCTTTTTTTTGGAGAGGTTTTGCTACAGGGCGTGTGCATTCACCAGAAAGCCAGAAAGAGACAGAAAGATAGAAAGTGAAAAATCACCCCCCAGGGGGGAGGGCCACGCCACAATCCCTTCTCTTCCATTCTCCTCTCGGGATTTTGGGCACACACCTACACGCGCCTGGCATGAGTTTAAGTCACCGGGTCCAGGACGCAAACAGCGGTCAGCTACATGGGAGTCCAGCGACATAGCCATTACACTAACTGCTGGTCCTGCCAACGTCCTTTAAGACCTTCACAGTCAACGGTGCAATGCGATCGGATGCTCTGAGTTTACTCTGTGTAATGAAGTGGCCACCTAGGCTGGTTTGAGAAGTGCGTGGTATTTCACTGTAATCAGCAAAGTGACTGCCGTTTTCCTTTCCCCTGCTTAGCCCCACCCCCTGCCAGCTCCCCTAGACTCCCACGAGCTTAATCTGTTCTTCCTGTCTCCCCGTGGCTACCTGCTCCCAGCTTGAGTTCCGAGGCTGGGTGAGAGTCGGGCACCTCCAGGATGCGCTCACCGTCGGAGGGCCGGCTTTCGTGATCGGCAGCAGGAAGACCCAGTGAACTCAAGCGACCTAGAAGACAAAGAGCATCTGTCAGAGGGGAGGGTGAGTGAGAGAGCCATGATTTTTTGGGGGGCAGGGAATGGTGCTTACTTACTTTTCATGTCATTTTTTAACACTACAATTCTCTTATGACCATGTCCTTTTATCCAGACCACCTGCACACAAGACATACTACGGGTTAACAGAAGAAAAGCAGGGGAGATAAACCCTAACACTCAGGAAGAGCACCTTCCTCAAACACACCAGAATTTAGAGACTGAACTAATGCCAAGGATAGTTTTTCTATACTCTCTGTACCCTTTAAAGCAACGTAAAGAAGCTGACAGAGACATGCCCCTTACAAAAGGCAGAGCAGTCAGAAAACTATGAGACGCATAATTCAAAAACATTCTTTACAACTCTTAGAATGACTGTCTACTAAACCCCAGTTTGGGTACATAAGACAGTTTTAACATGACAGCTCATACTGAGTTTCCCAGTAACTAAAAAACCCTAAAAGAATGAACAGTGATCTCCCAGACCCCTGAGACTAATCTCATTATTATAATCCTAAAAGAAAGCCCTCTACCCAATGGTGCCACTTCTCCCTCCTCAGCTGAGTCAGGAGCTCCCACGTTCCCCATATGCAATCTGTCCCCACCCCCACCCCCCACCCCCCGATCACTCCTCCCGTGTCCTGACTGCTCCCTCCATTCTACTACTTTCACTCTGGCTCAATTCCTTCATCCAGCACTGGGCTGGACCTCTGCAATGGCCAGGAACCCGGCCGAGCTCCCTCCACTCCTGTTTTTCTCAGCTCTCCAGGGATAGCTGCCTGCTGCTTAGATACTTTTTGATTTCAAATGCAAGCCCAGGGCCCTTCTCCCCTTCCCACTGCACACGCTTGCTCCCTGCGGGAGGGCTGCCGTGACTGAGCCCCTCCTCGTGAGGATCAGTGAGGTGCCGGCCCGGTTGCGAATGCCCCCACCTCCGCACGGCTTCTCGCTGAGCCGCATCTGCTCACGCTGCCCCTCTGCCCAGACTGCCTTTCTCCTCCTTGTCCATGTCCCTGACAGCTCCACTCTGGGATCCTGCCAGGCCTGGGAAGTGGGTCCTGCCCATGCCCACTTCAATATACCCCCTTGAGCAGGGAGTGGCCATTGCTGCTGCCGCACTGACCATGCTGACGGGTCAGCTGCTTAGGTGTCCTGGCCGAACACCCTTCTGCAGGTCAGGCCTGGAACTCACTCACCTGGGAGCCAGGAATTGAATAAAGGTTGATGGAATCAACGAGAAACCCTGACATCATTTCTTTAATGCCATCAATATGTTCTGAAAGGACCATTCCAAACCCCTGGCATTTTACCACCCTGGTGGCATCTTATGGTTCTGTTCAGGAGAGTCAGCCTGCCCTCTGCAGAAGACACGTCCCAGAGCTGGGGTAACGCCCACCTGTGGGATGGCGCCCAAGAGCTCCTCCACAGTGCTGTAGCCATAGGTCTTGGGCTGCAGGGTTTCACCAACATACTTAGTGTAGGCCATGGCAAACTCATGCAGGAAAATCTGCTGGTAGTGGTAGGTATGAAGTAAAGCCCGCACGTTCTTCGCAAACAGGTACAGACTTGTGAGCTTCACACACTCTTCCGTCTTATCATTAGTAAAAACCTGGTCCAAGAGAAGCAGCAGCATTAGGAACCTCGGGAGTGAACGGCCCTGAAAGGCCCAAAGTCAACCTGGAAATGGGCGACCATCTCCCTGAACATGGGAATGGGCAAAAACAGCCTTATAGAGGCAGAGGACTGAAGAATGATTGCTGGAGGCTGAGGAGCCTCGGGGGAAACACCACGATGCTGATTAACAGAAATAAAATGGCAGAGACAGGAGGAACCGTGTCTAGAGCTATTATAAGAAAAAAAGTGGGGGGACCAGCAGTTAGAATAATGGCTATGTTGCTGGACTCCCATGTAGTCGACCATGGTTCATGTCCTGGACCTGGTGGCTTGAACTCACCCTGGGCCCGTGTGCGTGCATGCCCAAGATCCCGAGAGGAGAATGGAGGAGAAGGGAGTGCGGAGTGGCCATTCCCCCCTGGGGGGGGATTTCTCGCTTTCTCTCTCTCTGTCTCTGTCTTTTTGGCAAGCACATGCGCCCTATAGCAAAAACCTCTCAGAAAACAAACAAACAAACAAAAAAACAGTGGGGAGAATTTCAATGCAACAACTAGATGAGTGTCTCTAGGTAACTAAAAGAGAGGATTTAAAATTTTCCCAGCACAAGTAATGACAAAAGACTGAGATGACAGGTGCACTAAGTATTCTCAACAAATCACAACATGTATTCTTCCACGGAAAAATCACACTGTACTCTTACAGATATGTGCAATTACATGTTGAGTTTATATTTTTTTTTACTTTTTTTTTTTGAGAGGTTTTCGCTATAGGGCGCGTGCGCTCGTCAGACAGACAGAAAGAGACAGAGAGATAGAAAGCGAGAAATCACCCCCCAGGGGGGATGGCCACCCCGCAATCCCTTCTCCTCCATTCTCCTCTCGGAATCTTGGGCACGCACGCACACGCGCCCGGCGTGAGTTTTAAGCCACCGGGTCCGGGACGCAAACCGCGGTCGACTACGTGGGAGTCCAGCGACATAGCCATTACGTTAACTGCTGGTCCTGATATATATATATATTTTTTTTTTTAAAGGAAGAAAACGGACAATAACCTGACAAGGACGAGAAAGGGGAGGGGGAGGAAGAGAGATTCACTGAGGGATTCTCTCCAAGAAAAGGCTGCAACCTTGACCACACTCTCATTTCAATTGCAAGGCAAAGACTACAGAGGTCTGAAGACATTCTGGCTAGTGTGAGAGCAGGAAGGGAACAGAGAAACAAGGCAGGCAGCGGGGAGGGGAGAGAGCGGCCTAGTCAGCAGGCTGAGGCACTAAACCTCACCTCCCCAGCTGCTTTTCCAGGAAGCAGCGATAAAGGACAAGGCACGAGCATTCTTTAAACACACAATAGAAGCTGTAAGAAACATACACACACAAAACCCTGCCATCTTCAAGCAAGTGGAGCAGGGTTCTGGGCCATAAACCATAGCCTCTAATATGCACTGGAATCTCCAAAACGAAGTTATATCCTAACCTTAGCTCACCGTGAACAGTCTTTTGTTCTGGAATACTCATTAATATTATCCAGAAGTAGTGTTCAGAGAATTAGATCATTAATAGAGTTGAGAAAACAAGAGGTAAATAACAATGGTGTACTATACATTTCTTACTAGATTTTACTTAAAACCCTACTTAGAATCATTTTCTTTTAAGAGACTATATTAAGTTTTTTATTTTAAAGTTATTTGGCTTCATAAGTGGTATACTTTCCTTCCTTTTTTCCAGAAATTTTGCTATGGGATGTGTGCACTCACCAGAAAGAGAGAGAGAGAGAGAAATCACTCCCTCAGTGGAGATGGCCACACCACAATCCCCTCTCCATTCTCCTTGGGATTTTGAGTATGCATACACACACGTCTGGAATGAGTTTCAAGCTGTCAGGTCCAGGTCTTGAACCATGGTCGACCATGTGGGAGTCTAGCACCTTAACCACTACTCAACCTACTGACTTCCCTAGAATGATTTTTTCAAAGTTGGAGTTATCTATTCTTTCTTGGTTTTACCATTACACATTGTAGTCATGTATGAGGGGATTTCAAAAAGTTTAGGGACAAATGGACTACTGTATGATTTTTTTTTTTTTTGGTGCAGGAAAGTTTTGAAATCTATGCATAGTTTTTTTCATAATACTTATTTTCTATGAACTCTTTGATGATCCCCTCACGGTGAAAAATCACACTATCCCTCATAAACAGGTACAGTTGTTATGGGCCAATTTTGAAAACATTCCACTGTTAACCCATTTGGTCCTGGTACCTTTCACAGTGGTAAAGTTTCAGTGATCTTTAGTCTCTTCTATGATAAGTAATCTAATTTTCAACTTCTTGAGTCAATTTTGATAGTTTTTTTTTTTCCTACCTCATCTATTTGCTCTAGATTTTTATATTTGTTGCCCAGCACTGCATGCAGTATTCTAAGTGTTTTCCAATCTTGAAAAGTCATTCTTGAGATGCTGTGGAAGAGCAGCTGGCCAGCCTTGCTTTCTGACCCTGACTTCACCCTAAGTCTCTGGGGACCATCATGTATGCCAGTTGACTTAGCAAGAAAAAAACCAAACGGTAGCGAAATCCAGCCTGGTGCAGGACTGCGAGCTCTCAGGCAAGTACTGGGAAACCAGAGCTTCCCTCCTTGCTTTTCCACTCCTTCAAGCAGGGCTTCAGCTCTCTGTGCGTCAGTTTCTTCAGGTGTAAAATGACTGATGGGCCTTGAAGATCCCTTCCGGCTCTAGCACCCTAATCTAGACCAACGGATAATCTAGAAATAGCCAATTCAAAAGTTTTCAATGTGATGAGTCTAAAGAACCAGGCAACACACATACCTCAACTAAGTAAGGTAGACTCTTCAGAAGTTCAGTCAAGGTCATGAATCCATATTCACAGGGGTTCAGAGGAGCACTGTGGGTAGTTTCATAATGTCTCTTGAGCTCATCAACAGAAAGATGGGCGGTTCCTTCCCAAGACATCAATAATACTAACAACTGGGCAGTGAGAGATCGCAGAGACTTTCGGTTGATCAGCTGAATCTGTTTGCCAGATTCCATATCAGCAACCTGGGGAAAATAAGGATTCAAACTCTTCAGAGCTCGAGAGAGAGAAAACCCAGATCACAGATCATATCCTACTCAGTTTATTCCATTTTGGTTAATGAGAGCAATAGAGAAATAAAGCAAGTGGGTTTGGTTTTAGCTTCTTTGGGACACCAGACCAACACTTTCAATTAGACTGGAGCAGGAATTATTCTCTCTCTCTCTCTCTGCTGGTCCATAACTGACACCTTCTATCAATACCACTTCCTCTCTCAGGACAACCATGGGAGAAGAAACCACTGTCACTCTGTCTCTCCACTCATCCCTTCTACTCCCGCTGTGGGAGGGAGACAGGTTGGCTAGCTGACACCCTCTGGCCTGAGCTCCTGAGTTAAGGGCTACTGTGCTATGACAGGTGACACTCACACAGCTGCTCTGCAGACCTAACTGGTCCCATGTGTGTCTCCTGGGCTAGACTGGGGAGGAAGGGAAGGCCCCATTCTGACTACAAGGAAGGATCCATTTTCCTAGTCCATTGTTACTAACGTTAAAAAGCCAGGATTTTCATCTCCCACTGCACACCTACTCAATTTATTTCCAATCCTTGATGAGATACAGGATTTAAGTGATTAAGTGCATTGGGAGGGAAACCTTATGAAAAAGACACAGCTATCATTTGGGGACCAAACACGACGTGAAGAAACAAACATCAGGTAACTGAGACCAGCAGATCACCTCGGGAGGGGCCAGACTGTGAATTGAACCTTTACTGGAGCAGAGCCAGGCAGCTCCAGGGAAGAGCATCAGTGCTGAAGCACTGGGAAACCACACTGCTGGTCTCCCCTTCATCTAGTACTGCCAGGACCAAAGACCTCCATGCCTATAGTAAGGGCCAAGGGATCACGAGCTTGTATTCATCAGGCTTTGGATTCTCAAAGGCAGAGCGGTGGGCGGCACTAGAGGCGCCATCCCAGTAACCCGACATCTTTACTGGGCTCTGATGCACACCCAGAGCCCAGGCAGGAGAGTGGCTGGTGGACTCCCACATAACATGGCTATGGATCTGTACAGATGTGTAGGAGGTGACTGTAATCCATGAACAGGTACAAGTCTAGGGGTGTAAGTCATCTTCTCAGACACCCTTATCAATGCTATTACCGCAGCCTTTTAAGGAAAAATATAAAACGTGCTTCTCTGATGTTATTTAGATCCATCTCTTGATTCTAACCCTGCATAGGCATTAGGATCACATAGGGAGTACTTTAAAAATGCCAGTACTCAGAGCATTATATGATAATCTCAGAGGCAGGGTGTGTGAGGTCTGGCCTTCAGTATTTCCCAGGAGCTCCCCGGAAGGTTCCAGGACTGTAAACTACAGTCTCCGCAATCATTGCTGCTCACGTCCAACTTCCCAGTCACTTGCCTCGTGCATCAGTGCTGGGCCATGAATGAGTCTTCCG